CGCCAAGCAAATGAACATAATTGGTTGTTACTTATAGATCCAACCAATCATATTCAATCGCTCGATAAGCATGCCTAGCCGCTTTACCGTCTTGAACTCGCCCATTGTCTGGTGAGATAGGATCATTCTTCTAGATCTAAAAGTATGATCCAATTAGCGCGAAGGAAACTTCCAACTGTTGCAAAACAAACATTCTGCTGAACGCAGCCTATCTCAGCAGACAATCATAAAACGGTTGCAAAACTGTTGAGTCTGCTGAACGCAGCCATTATGAACAGCGATTGTTAATTACTTTTTCAACCAGTTAGAATAAAGCAATGGCGATTGTTTTGTTCCGATTAGTTGAAAGTAATCGCCAATCACAATCGCACAATTGTTAGTGTGATTACGGCTTAACGAGACCTTCCTCTTCTGCCAATTTTAATCAACAATGCCTTAAACATATATGTCTTGAATACACATAATTTTTTCGCTCAATTTTAAAAAAGAATGCTACAATTCTAAAGAATAAAAACGATAATATATACAATATAGGAATATCATATTATATATTTATGAAAAACAATTTCACACACACGTAAGAGGACCTATGTAGTTATTTATCAAACTTTTTTTGCTGAGATTTACTTTTTAGAATATTGAAATTGGGCATGACATAATTCTCGAGTAAATCCTTATCAAACAGAAATCGCGCTAATGCTTGATCTCCAACGCCCGACAATACGGTTGTCAATCTTCCAAATTCGTTAACGCTTTTCATCTGATCTTCCATGAAACCGGTGATGATAAAATCACTCGCATTCAGATCACCGTGCTTTTCCGCTATAGCGTTTACCGCAACCAGTTTTTTACTAACTTCGATTTCCAACTGCAATGCCGTCTGTAGAAAATTTACGTAGACAAAAGAAAATTAACTTATAGATTTTGAACAGTTATTACTAAATGGAACACTCCTATTAATTCTTAGGGGATGTATCATATTCTTAAAATATATACAGGGTGTCCCATAACTCACCTGACAACGCTTGTGGGCAGGTAGACCGGACTATTAGTCGAAAAGTCCTCTACTATTTTGTAATTTTCGTAATAGTTAACAAGATATTAATTACTAAAAATTCTTTTCATAAAGTTCTGAGAATTTTTTCAGAATTTTTTAGTACCGGATTTTCATGATGGTAAAAATAAGAAAATGCAGTACTAAAAAGTTGATAAAAAATTCTGAAAAAATTCTTAGAGTTCTATGAGAAGAAAATGAACAATTTTTGTCTCTTGCAGTTTTTTTGTAAAATTGATAGTAATTGAGAAAAAAAATTATTGAAGACCAATATTCGACAATTTTTAGTAATTAATATCTTGTTAACTATTGCGAAAATTACAAAATAATAGAGGACTTTTCAACTCAGTTTAGTCCGCTCTACCTGCCCACGAGCGTTGTCAGGTGAGTTATGGGACACCCTGTATATTATATTATTTAAAACCATCTTAAATTACAACAGATTCGATTGTACTAAATAAATTTACTTTGAATACATGCAACGGACATTTCCAATCTTGATCATTTGGCGGCGATATAGCGCACAAATGCACTTTGCCGCCTCGCATTTTTATATAATTAAAAAATCTCAAAGCATGTTCATGCTCTTCATGATGCATCTGTATAAAGAATGACTCACAGCCTGGTAAAGCGACGTCTACGCGACCGAAATATGCAGCCTGCATAATGAAACATAAATTCTCATAAAATAGCAATTAAATTATTTAATTTTATATCAAAAGGATACATGTTATAAAGGCAATTTGTAATTATAGTAATTGAAAAAACTAAAAGTTATGATTTGTGTAAAATCCTCATTTCTTTATATTTAAAGTTGAAAGTGATAAAAAGGATCATGCCATCGATAAATAATAATAAAATGCCATCAGCTCCACGTTTATTTGCTCATTCATTGCAGCTTCGGTTTCTTCGTGGAAATCAAAATTGGCCCTCCTTCCACTCGGCCATTTTGTTGGTTTATCAATGCACATTTCTGTTTGATCATTATTTTCCGATTTTTTCCGTGTTAAGCTACATAATGATTTTTGTGAATCAATATAAATGGATGAAAATGTATCTTATACAATGAAAAGAATAAGAAAAAATTAGACACTACATTGTGCCTACAGTCTCATAAATTAAATTTCAATATTCTATATAACAAATTCACAATTTAAAAAATTTAATTCAAAAGAATAAGAGTTTCTAAAAAAATTTTTTTTTCTTTTATATTATACGATTAAATTTAATACTATTTAGACTCGTGATTTATTAATGTATAATGATTTAGTAATGTATAATTACCTATAACCTAATTGTCGAGTTAACGAATAGAACTCATAATTGTGAGATTTTAAAAGTTTGTAATAAGATTTACGAATTAATATTCGCAACATTTTTTAATTTTTTTAATTAGCATTAAACTATTCACATTAATTTAAATCATTTGTAAGTCACGATATAATGTCATTGATTTGAAGCACAAATTATGTGTGAACATACATGAATTTAACACCAAAATTTCGAATTAGAAATTTCAAAAAAATCAAGAATCTCAAAAATTGCCATTAGAAATATATTATTAAACAAGAGAAATAACGCAAAATGAAACACCAAGAATTGCAGTTCAAAAAATTTCCATTACTTTCTTTTCTTTCTTTCATCTACACACATTAACATACATTGTAAAATGCTAAATATAAATAAATATAGATTGATTAATGTATTATCTAAAAAAGTTCACTGTAATAAAACTATTCTCCTTTTCGATGATTAAGAAATTGTTTTAAGCTTTAATTTTTATATTATCGAATTTATATTTTTATTATAAATACAATTGTACTAAAATATTGTAACACTGTAAATTAATGTTCCATTTATTGTCTTAAGCGATATTTTTTTATAATGAAATGTCGTATAATTAGTAATTGTAGTGACAGTTATAGTCATCTTTGATACATGAAATTCATATACTGATTTGATTTTACAGACTGTCAAAATGTTTTAAAATTTTAAGTCTCTAGCAAACAATAAATATAACAGCTTACAATAAATCATAAATATGTCATTGATTTATTGAATTAGGTGAAGGATCTGATAGTTGATGTGTATTATTTGAGGACACGGTATTTATAGAACTGAGGCTTTCTTGTTTTATATTAGAATTGCTAAGATTCATATTGATCACAGTCGTCGACGTGGGATTCTGCATATCTAATTGACTTTGCGCAATATCTTGTAGAGCTGCTTGAATTCGCTGAAGAAGTGTCTCGCCTTGTCTTACCACTTCTTCCAGTTGCTCACCAGCTTGTTGATTCTCTTGTTCTAGTCTGCTAAGGCTGGCTACTTGTAGCTCCTGTGACGATTCCTCGCTTGGCAAACTCTCTATTAATGTATCTATATCTTTGGCACACCTTGCAATAAGATTTGCAAATAAGGCAGCATAATCTAAAAAAGATGAACTATGATTTATAATCATGTATATTTAATCTTAAATAAATATGATTGAGTCATTTGTGTCCTATACATTTCTTTTCTTTGAAATACTAAGACCTGGCTAAATAATAACCTCTATCCTTTCTTTTCTTTTTATCACAACTTTACAAACACTTTTTAAAGATGTTAAAGTATATGTAAAAATCATTTCATTTTTATATGATTTTATATATACTTGTAAAAGTAATACAAATTAACCCAAGATACAAATGATCTATGTGTATAAACGACCGTAAAATTATTGTATGTACTAAAGGATAATATCACATTATCAATGTGTATTGAAACATGTAAAAACCTTCTTGAGATTGATGTGGCTGTGGGGTACCAATGCGATCAAAACCAGGAAATTTACTGGGCGTAGAATATTGTTGTAGAATACCAACGCTGTTGCAAAAGTGTTCCGCTTGCTAACACAAAATCGACAATTAAGATCATTAAGATACCAAGATGATAAACGAATGAGACAATAAAATAGAAATATTTGATTACCTGGTTTATGGTGTCTTGCAATTGCGTTAGGCGATCTGCCATAATATCGAATTAATATGGATTCACTTGTAATTAATTTAGATAGCCTCTTGTAACATTCATAACAATCAACAAAAGTAAGAGTGCAAGAGTTTACCACCTGCCAAGACGTCTTAAAAATCTCAGCGCTTCTTAAAGAAAAACGATATAATCGATTAAAATATCACTTAATTTTCTATGCAATTACGTTATCACAACGCACTCGAAATTTTGTTTATAACTGTTTATTGAAAAAGACGTTCTAAAACAACAATCTCAGAAAATGGTAAAAAAACCATAATTTAACCTCCTATCGACATTTCCGTGTTGGGACTTTCAGCGTCACCTAAGCTCTAGCAAAACACGTGTTTAGGTTTCCTACCCTTTTCCGCAATTCCTAGGGAATTAAAAAAATGTTTGGATTTAGGTTGGCTGTCTTTTTTTCAAAAAGAGCAGGCTAAAGCTAGAAATAAAATAGAAAAATGTAAAGGCAAAAACACAGATTTTTGCATCATTCTAGCATAATGCACGAGACACATTAAGATTTTATGCTACTCTAGATGAAACAATATGATTTAAATTTCTTTAACTTTTATTATAACTTGGAAAATAAAACTTAAACCTATGTTCATATAACATTCTTTTTCTCATTTTACATCTCAAATTCACTTTCTAAATTATCGATACAATTGAAAGTCACTCTGTATATATAATACATTGAGAATATTTACATTGTTTATAATTGTAGATATAATTGCACTAAATACAATCTCAATTGTATTTCTGTTAATGTTATTTATCAATTAACATGTTTAGCAGTCGACGATAAATATAAAATGAAATACACTGCAATATAATTCTACCATTATAGGTGTAGTAATGATTCAGACATTTATCTCACTTTCCCAAATATTGAAGTCATATACTGGATCAGAAGGGTCTCATAATAAAGTAGGAAAAACGCATCTTAACATAATTTAGCATTTTCCATTGCATTTTTATAAAATGTTTACATGGGGAAGTATTTACAAAAATATGAGTAGGGCATGATGAAGTATAGAGACGGGAAAAAGAATGAACAATTCAGTTGAGGGTACCACGGCATTGAGGAGCTCCGCAAAGGCAAGGGATTTTGTCATCCTCCAACGGGAATTTATAATCATAAGTAATTTCTTCATTAACTCCTATCGGTTGTTTACTGTAGATTACGATCTTCTTTTGGCTTTCGATCGTGATTACTTTTGCGTAACAGTTCGGCTAAAAAAAATAAAATTTGATAATCACAATATAAAATATGTATTACATATTTATATGTAAATATATTGTTCTGCCTCTCTCACTTCAAGATTAATTAATATTGAGTTTTGTTATGACATATTAATAGACTAGAGATTAAGATTGGAATGTAACAAATCAGAAGAAAGAAAACTAATACCAATTTTAGACTTTGCTTTGATTAGTCAAATTACAATTCAATTTTAATCTCAATTTTTGATACAAGCTTTATAAATCAAAATTTTTATCAATTCATCAAGTTAAGTTTCAATTTTTTATTTTAATATTCAAGTTTCTCTTTTTCACACACACACGCACGCACGCACAAAATTTATCATATTACATAGCCAGTCAAGATTAATGAGATAGATAATCTTAAGATAATGACTTACATTACAACTGTGATTTATAAACCTCGCCAAATTGCCGCATTTTGTCGCATCGATAATTGTATCTAAATCGATGCGGAAGAGGTAAGAACTGCCAATTCCAGTGGCCTCGTATTGAGCTTCTCGTAGATCGGCTACAACCGGTCTAACCATTTGTCCAACATACTCGATAACCATTTCGTCAGCTGCGATTGGTTCCATGGCAAACAAGCCCCAATCATGAATACCAGATTTAGCAAACTTCAATTGCTTTTTACGGAACTGAAATACAAAATTTATATTATGAATTACAATATTAGAATGTACAATATTAATAGATATATTGAATTATATATATATATATATATCACTGCCTATATTAATAGATATTTTAAATTATGTATCTTACCTTTAATTGATTAAACTTAAGGAGATCACTGTCCGTATCAATTCCGAAAGCTGTTAACAGCCGGCGTTGATTACTTCGTGCCTCGCGTGACAATGCTTGCATTTTGCCGGTCAACGCTTTAGAATTATTCTTTGGACCATTCATTACACCATCACCTCCGATGTAAGAACCGCCGCTGTCCTCCACATCATTGCTGCGCTGTATACTTTGAGCATAATGATGCTGCAAAAAAAAGCAAAAAGGATTATTTACTACTTTTCTATAGACTTTCTTTGATAATAAAATAACATTATAATATACAAGAGAGAGCATGTCTAAACTTTAAATTTCCTTTAGAAAAATGTATTTTTGTAAATATATCAGATATATATAATTTTTTACTTTATGTTTAGCCTTCTCTCTGATGTCAACTTTGTAATATCCTTCCGTTCTAGCGCTTCCACTCGCATGCAATCGGAGTTCGTCTCGTTTCCTCTTTTTCGCGGGGCTCGGTACATCCGTCGGCGAATGATCAACCCAGTGCGTATCGTTCAACCAATAACCTTGAGTATCGTCCGCTAATAAAGCTTCGTAACTTCTTCTCAAATACTCTACATCCTCTGCATCTATTCCCCTAGTTAAAAACTCGTACAAAATAGCCATTTCTGACATAAGATCTCGTTCTTTGTACGTGACAGTCGGTTCTGGAACCTGTTTAGGAAGCTTATCGTATATATAATCATTTCGGATATTTTCCTTCTCTCCCACATGATTCTGATTGCTGTGTATTTTTGTATACTTCTTGGATTTCTGTTTCTCGATTTTATGAGTATTGTCTTTCGATTTCGCCAATTTAACAATCTTTGGATGTTTTACTTTCATCGAGGCTGGTGGTACTCGGATCGCCGAATCCAATGGCTCGGGTTGTGCAGGTGGCAATGAATACGAATGTTCCATATACACCTGCGAAGCCTGAGAACCAGGTGAACTTGGTGTTCGTTGTCCATTCAATCGAAGCTCTGTCTCTGCTTGATACCTATATAAATAATATTGTAATGTTATAATTTGATAGTATTTAACCGTAGCGAGTTTAATCACTCCGAAAGCGATTAATGACGTCACAAGTTCTATCTTTGGTTTCTGATGATACTTTCGGGTTAAACTTTCGTTACTCGCTCTCGGAACGATCAAATCCACTATAATCGAAAACGCTTTAGATTGTTATTACATACTAATCAATAAACGCATTCAGGCCAGATAAAGCAGTTAGTCTGCTTGCCGAGTGATTGAACATGGTTGGATTCACAAGAATTAATCATATTCAATCGTTCGGCGAGCACGTTAACTAAAATTTGTCCATATTTAATGCGCCCATTGATTATTGCAATTAATCTTGCAGTAGTATATATGCATTGTATTACGGTATTATATACAAAGAAAAATCTTTACTTAAAAAAACTTATTTAACTAACCTTAGTCTTCTGATTTCTAAACTCTCTTCCTCCGAGTCAGTTGTAGGAATCTCACTGAACATTTCAATCTTTTCATTATCTTTCAAGATGGGTTCGTCAGTGATGTATTTTGCTGACATTGTCTGTAGCGCCCTAATAATGTTAGGTTGTATGGCACCTGGACTCTTGTGCCGTATAATATTATCATGTCCAGCTAGAGTCATCAGAGCTTCCGCAGCCGAATTTTCCATTTTTTGTATATCGGGTAACACCTCCTCCTTTATTGCTGATGTTATTATCATCGGTTTCATGTCGCTCTGTGTTCCCTTATCTTCAGTGATTCTCGATGTATCTTTCACTTCCTGGTCCAAGGTTCTACACACATCAAATGGTTTTTCTTCTACTACAGGCAACTTCTCAGAAAATCTTTCCTCTTCTTTGACGCTTTCATATCTTATGGAAGAAGATAATGAACTACTCAGATTGTCATCATCAATCTGCGGGAATTCGTTTGAATTTTGATCTTGAATTTTGATATCTGGTACCGGCGTTTCTCTGCCAGTTGGTGTGGGACAATCTAGGGACCTTTGGATCGCAAGTTCCATCAATATATCAGGATCTTCGCTATTACAAGCCAAAGGCCTATTGTCAGACATTCGGCTATCTGTATCTTGCTAAAAATAAATTTATTTTAATTAGCATATCTCCTTAAATCTGTCGTATTTTTTTTTAAATCATTGCGCTTATTTGCACTTTATACGCACCTCATCCTCAAAGCAAGCTTCTTCATCGGAACTTTCATTCGAACTATCGGAAGATTCACTGGAACTAATCTCCTCACTACTACTTTCGATTGACGAAGACGTAGTAGATGAAGAAGAAATGGTCGGAAGAGAAGTCATCGGTTTCTTTGTTTTTTGTACAGGTGGTACATCTAGATCACTATCACTTTCAATTGTTTCCATATCAACATGACCCGATTGTCGACTGTCCTCATCCTGTGGTAATGGGCTTGGAGCTTTGATCTTGCGCTACATATATAAAAATAAAATAAAAATATAACAACGTCCAATGTTTAGCGAAGAAAAATATAAGATATAACACAAGGTTGTTAGCAAAAAAGAAATAAAAATTTCCCTGACTTTTCCCGCTCACTTTTTAAATAAGTTCCCTAACTAAAACCTGAAAGATTCTTTGAATAAAAACGAAGAAAAATATTAAAATATTTTAACAATAATAAGATTGAAAGACCGCTAATGTTAAACATAATGCTTTAAATTAAGAAGCGCCATAACGGTCAGAACGTTAAGATGTTGCACTATTGTAAATTCATTAAAATGAATTAATTTCAGAAATGATAATTGCGTGCCGATATGGTTGTCGGACTTTCAACGCAATCAAATCTGAAAATATTAATAATCCCCCCAAATTTCCCAACTTAAAAACTGTAATAAACTTATTGCGAAAAATAATGCCTCGGTCGGGAGTCAAACCCGGATCTCTTGCATTCCGTGCGAGCGTCCTAAGCCTTTAGACTACCGAGACCTTAGCATTATTCTTCGCAATAATTGATATGTATAGAGAGTTACACATTTCTCGGCGCGCGTGTATAAACGATAAGATTGAAAGACCGCTAATGTTAAACATAATAAATAAATAATAAATAAAAAATATTTTATTTTATATAAACAGTACAATAAAAAAATATTTATGTTCAAAGAATTATTTATCTTAAGGTATTTCTCCGAGAAATTGAGTTTCTATAGATTTTTTTGAAATTTGGATATTATGTTTAAAATAATTTGATTTATATATGGTTAAAATTTCAAAGATCCTAGCGGTATCAAAATGGAGATATTCACTTTTAAAGTTTCAGCTTTTAACACGTAAACTCCTATACCAAGCCTTATTGAAATAACGTTTTAATACTTTGCGACAAAAATCTTCTATAGATTTAAAAAAAAAATAAATATGTAATGTAGAAATACTATAGGAACCTTATTAAAAAAATGGGAAGGCCTAGCGGTGCTGTTTCTGAATTAGAATAGTTTAAATTTGTAATGAATGTAATTTGATGAAGTTCTCTTTCTCGGACGCCGAGCGGCAAGACAAGGACATGTTGTTGTCACATTTCAACTGTCTTCAGTGCGGACTAGTGTTCATGTACACAGATACGACATTTATGCGCGCGCGCGCGGGTGTGTGTGTGTGTGTGTGTGTGTGTGCGTGTGTTGTGTACGCTCGTCTCAAAAGTTTCTCTCTACAGAGTACGCGCAGAGAGGCATATTCGTAGGTTGTACGCGATTAAGCCGGAGAAATATCTTAAAGAACAAGTTGCAAATATAAATAATAATACGATATAACTTGCATTGTGTTGCAAACGTTAAGTGGAACATAGGACTACTGATACATGATACGTTAAAAAACAAATGAATTACGGGAAACGGCGGATATACATGTATCTTTGTTTTGCACATTGCTTATTGAGATTTTTGTTTCAGACCTTATATTCAAGGCTTCCTTAAATTTATCTTTGGATGTTCAGTAGCCTAAATTCCTTGATAATAAAATAATTCATAGAGCATCTAAAGATAAATTTAAAAAAGCCTTAAATATAAGGCATGACTAATACGGGTATTTTAATCATTTTATTGGAACATTATGTTCTAATTATAATTTTAATATTAATTTTAATTAGAAATGATTTACGAAATGTTCATCATTGATACATGTATATTTTAACTTTTGCAAAGTTAAGTTTTTTTTTTTAACAATGTCTGTTAATGGTTTTCTGCAAATTGCTCATTGCAAAATTAAAAATAAAAAAATATTTGAATTACTTCTTTAAAAAATTTTAAAAAGTCTACTTCATAATTTTTAAAGAAGTAAAGTTTAAACTTAGAATTTTACAGTACTTTAATTTTATTTTAGATTAATAAATTCCTTGATAGTAATTTCCCTGACTTTCTCCTTGATCACTTTTTAATTTCACTGATTTTCCCTGATTTCCCTGACCGCTAACAACCCTGTAACATTATCTTACCCTAAATGAAGGCATCTTTGGCATACTAGCTCTAATACCCAAACCAAAACCATCGTAATTGAGCCCCAGTGGTGTTGCTTGCTCCAATAATGATGACAATCCCTGCGATTTTACGTCCTCTTTTGTTGCATTATTGACAATAATATTATCGCCACTACCCTGAATTTGATTTTTTTCTGATTTCTTTTCGTCCCACCAAACTTCAAACAATTTGAATGCCGTGTTCTCTATCATCTTCTTATTAAAATCTTTCTTTAGAATTTGCTTTAGTTCATTTACAACTCTGCTTAACACTCCATTGATAGTAGGTCCCTATAAATAGAAATATTTTAAAAAGTTTTCTAAATGCAAAGTTCAAATTTATATATTTGTGTGACAATAAATCTTACCTGTGGATCTTTTGTAATATTATAATTTGCCATAGCATGTAACCGAGATTGAAAAGAGGAATAATAATTTGCTCCTTGATGATTTCCCATTGTTGCCGAAAAAGATGCTGTATTAGGTTGATAATGGCTTTGTAAGTAAGTTGTTCCATAAGGATAAGGATACTGCGTCGGTCGCGGCCAATTATAAACATCGTTCGAGGGATAGTGAGTCAAATGTCCTGGGTAACCAGATGCCGGATATAGCTGATTCGAAGGTTCAGTCTGTGCTATTACCTATCAAAAAAATATTTATGAATATAAAATAGACATGTGTATGCAACGAATACTACATTTCATATGTGTATAAATGATCTCACTTCCTCAATTTTTTCATCTCCCGAACTTAAAGGACTGAGAGACATTCTGTCGTCGTCAGGTGGTGGAGGCGGAGGTGGTTCTTTAGGTGGCTCTGGTTCATTGTCATCGGGTGCCGGGCTGTAACTTCCTAACAACGCTTCATCTTCACTGGAACTTATGACACTACCTAAATCCTCATCCACGGAAAACTGACTAATGCTATTTTCGTGAGCTTTTCTCCGTTCTTTGTTTCTCTCTACTATTTTATCAAAACACTGTTTGTATATCTCACGTGAGAGGAAAGGACTGGGTGGCTCTGACAACATCTCATTGTCACCAAATTGAGATTTTTTGTCATCTTCTGAGTCACTGCCAAACTGTAAGAAAGGAGGTGCCATTCCACCCGCTTTATCCTTTAGTAACATAGCAATTCTTGTATCTAAATCTAATGTTTTGCGAGTTTCATCAGGAGAATCACGAGGTGTACTCTTTGCTGTAGTCTGATTCTCCTTTTCCTTTTTAGGAGTAGTATGCGCTTTTGCACTGGAAGTTTTATTATTAATCGGGGTGACATTAGAACCAGCATTGTCCAAATTTGTCGCATGTGGTTGAATTGGCCAGACGGAAGTTGAGCTTGAATATCCTGCTGATCCAGAGTTATTACTCCACCATACATTTGAATTTTGTTGAATTGGTATATTCTGCGACACATTTTGCGGGATACTAGGTAAGTAGCTACTCGGAGGTTGATGATGATAACTGCTGTAGTAAAAGTCGTAATTTGTTGCCGGAGTAGAATTTTGAGAATAATTACTAGAATAATTCAATTCACTGGGCGCTGTTCCATAACCCAAATCACTACCTGTACTGCCACTCGGCGTAGGATAGTCTCTGTACTTGTTATATCTTGAATTTTCTACATATGGCTCTCTGGTTTTGTCCATACTTAGAATAGCTTTTTTACTATTTCTAAAGTCATCTCTCTCCTCAGGCAAAGCCTTTTCCACTGGTGTCTGATGTTTTTCTGGCTCTGGCTCTGGTTTCGGTGGCTCTTTTTCCACTTTCTTTTCAGGTGGTTTTTTCTCCACAGTTAACTCCTCGAACATCTTCTTACACTCTTCCCCAAAGGGATCCAGAAAAACCCTTAATACCTTTCCCATCACAGATGTATTATTCAACTTTTCTACACATGCTTTAGAAGCCTTGGTCGATTCAAACACCACTCTTGCTATTCCAAGATGTTTATTGTTTAATGGGTGGTAATAAATAGTAAGCTCTTCTATAGATCCAAACTTCTGAACCATATTTGTTAAAAATGTCTTATCAATATTGTCGTTTAAATGGCAAAACGTTACTTCTAGTGGAGGAGGTTCTCCACAGTAATTGGAATCAATTTTAAACCTAGGTACAGGTAGATCAAGCTGTTCTAATCGAGTCCAAATTCTAGTTAATTGCGATCTGGGATCTCGAGGTTGAACCTGTGGATACGTTGGGTCGCCTGGAACAGTCCCATCATACCTACATAGTCTTGCAGCTCCTTTAACTAAAAATGGATCAACCAATAGCTTGAAATTTCTCTGAGTCTTCTGAGTCGCTGGTGGTACAGCCGTATCCTTCTGCGAATGTGTCACGTGGCTGTGACTATGTTTTGAAGACGGCTGACTCGAGTTCTGCGACGAGCTCTGCTGAGAACTGCCATGGGAATGGCGATGACGATGCGAATGCGCATGTGAATGTCCATGTCCATGACCATGTCTCTCCATGCCGTTCATTGCCTCCGAGCATCATCCATTCACATGAACTTCTGTCGTAAACATTTATCCAAACTTTAGATGATATCGTTATTATGCTGAATGAAAATCAACTTGTACAGCTCATAGTTTATTCACATCTTTCCAGAAAAGTGCGTCTATCAAACGTGCAAAACAAATTGTACGTGTTCACACAAATTGAATTGCAAACCAGTAGGACACAATTTCCATACATCACTCTGTTCATCATTTAAAAATAATCAACTTCAATTATATTAAAAAAATAGCAAATTTGTTGTCAAAACAAGTTAAGTGCCTAAATATATCTCTTTTATATCAGTGACGCGGTGTAATTACATGATCGAGATCGTTCAGTAATCTTAAAATTGCAAGTAATTAAAAGTAATCGCGCTCTTATGTGTACAGACTAGTCTTATAGTTTGTTGCAAGCATTCCTTAGCAATTCCTTTCTCTTGTGCATTGTACGCGTGCAACCAGGTTAGAGGTAACGATCGCACGGAACCTTTGTCACTCTGCTATGGATAGTCACACGAGGACGCATCCTCTCGTAACGTGAACGCAAGACACTCGTCGTTGGATCGATACGATCTCCGTTGCGAAATTATCGATATGGTATCCTCAGGTGAAATCCGAAAACCGTCGCGTCCTGTTCACAGACTTACAACGCGGTCTCTTTCTCTCTCTCTCTCACACCAACTTTAGCCGTTCGGTCTCGCACAAGAACTTTATGCGGTTCTCCTCAACGGCACATAACCTCGAAAGCGCTTCTCAGTGCTCCTTTTAGGTTGGGTTGCTCACCGCGCGACGGTGAGCCACCGAGGACATTCCCTCGTCGCGGGATATTCCAGGTAGAACGCCGTCGACGATTCCTCGGTCGCACACGTTCCGAGAATCTCGTTCTCTCGCCTTTACTTCTCTACCTCTGTCTCCCACTCTCCTCGCCTCACTTTTTCTTAGTTTTTCTGTCTATACCTCTCCTTCTCTCTTTGTCTCCCTCGCTCGATCTATCACTTCCACCAGAACCTTTAGATCCTTATTCAGGTAAGCTGCGGTTTCTTCCTTTGCCAGAAATCGCGTAACTTTTGCAAAACGTCCAGGGACGGTGCGTAACGGCGCGAGTGTCCCGAGCCTATTCTCTATCGAGCTATCGAACCGATCGTCCTTTCGACTATTCCGCTGTTGTTTCGCTCACCGCTGACGATTCGCGATCTTCGGCGATTCCGTACTCCGGCTGAGAAATGTGATGAAACGTATGGACCGAGTTTTTTTACCTTTTTCCCTCTCTGTTTCTCTCATTCGCTAACTGACCCGTCGCGACACACGCGATTCTCTGTCCTTCTCTCTCTTTCTCGAGTTGACGCACCTGGAGCGTGTTTGGCTGATCGTGTCCAAACTACTTCACTTGCGCACACGAAACGCACTTTGCGCATCTCCGTGCTCGTAAACACACTCGCGCGAGCCGGGTCGACGAGCAAATACGCGTCCTTCTTCAGTTAAATTGCATGTAGTATCATTCTTTATTTTTCCAAACGCTCTCTCTCTCTCTCTCCCTCTCTCTCAAATTATGGGTTAATTACTAATACTGAACGCCCCCAACTCGTTTGCACCCTCCCTCTGCATCCCGCGAAAGTTATAACTCGCGGGCCCTAGGGCGACTTCGATCAAACTCCAATTAACTTAATTGGTGATCAATTCAACCCCGGTGGAATTGCTTGCAGTTAGACTCCTACGTGAATTATTTATAACTTGTTTTGTATTTCGATGTGTGATGTATTTTAACATATACTTTTTATACGTATATTCTGATTCTTTAAATATTTCATATTATACAGCATATGAAATAAATTCTTGAATTCTTGAGAATTATAGGTCTGTCGCATTGCTTGCACTTTTTGCACTAAGCATCTTCGTTTTCTTTCTCTTCGACGCGCGAATATATATTTATCTCATTTTAAGTGCAACAAATTTTTGGAGATTTCAAGCAACGCGAACAGACCTATAAATTGCATGGAATGGATTCCTTGCAATAGATTTCCGATATATTTCTGAACACACCTGAACACACCACACCAGTGTGAACGTTGCAACATACGGCTTTCGTATACAATTAAGCGGGGAGCACAGACTCTTGCATAACGCATAACACGTAATGCATAAGAAAATGTACCAATCAAAGCCCTCCGTTTTCTTCCTTTCCATGAAATAAAGAATTCTGATTGATTGAATTTCTTATGTATTACATGTTATGCGTTATGCAAAAGTCTGTGCTCCCCGCTTAATGGCCGCAGCACAGACTCTTGCATAACGCATAATGCATAGTGCATAAGGGAATCGACCAATCGAAATTCTTCTTTTCCATGGAATGGAAAGAAAGGAAAGATTCTGATTAGTTGATTCTCTTATGCACTATGCATTATGCGTTATGCAAGAGTCTGTGCTGCGGCCTTTAGAATTGCACGGATGTATAAACGTATACTTAAAGAAAATTATCCTATTGTATTTGACGTGCGTTTTTATAATACAAATGCAATTAAATAATTTTTTTATATATCCGTTTATATGGATATGCAAGTTTGTCTGGATGTACCCTTATGCTGGATTCACACTGCATCCGA